TACCTGCAGCCTGCAGGGCGGGCCAGTCTTATATCTGTCTCTTATACACATCTAGATGTGTATAAGAGACAGGAGAGAGAGAGAGAGAGAGAGAGAGAGATGCTAAAAGGGTTACCCCTTTTCATAATAAGAAAAGAAGAGGAGAAAACCGGATTTGCACACACCCACCTTGAAGGGCTCCACAGGATCAACCTCTTCTGGTTCGCAGAGCCACGGGCCCGCAAGATAGCACAGATCCAAAAGAAGGCTATGGTCAGGACGAATGCTGTAGACCACTCCTATGCTTCCGGCTGTTACTGTCCCGAGGCCATGCTTCGCGCTTGTTAGAGTTGGCTTCACTTTCACCCAATCACCAACCTGCAAATATCATTGAAATATGCAGAAGAGGGGAAATAGAAGAAAGGGATGCAAGTGTGGAGGTAAGAGTCAGAGCGACCGGAGAACACGCAAATGGAGGGCAAACCCGGTAAAGGGTGCAGGGAGATAGAAAACGGTCGAATTGAATGATGCACACAAGGCGAACAGATGAGCAGGTGACACAGATGGGCATAGACATGGGCATGGAGGGAAAGAGGCTCCTGAGAAGTCTGATCAACCCCTGCGCACAAAGAAAAGTGTCATTTGTCAGATTGTCAATCCAACCGACCAAGACAATCATGGCCATCCTGGTAAGCAGGCCAGAATAGAAAGGAAGCAGGGCCATCATAAGAGGTAGTGGCGTTTTGGGGTGATCTGTCGACTGGACATTTCAAAGCCTGAAAGTTACATCTACGAAGTAGGAGATACCAATAAGCACAAAGAACGGCACAACAAGGGCCTTCATAGAAGGTAGTGGTATGGCGTGGTGTGGTGGCCTAAAGATTGGACATTTCACAGCCTGATAGGCACACATATACAAAGTAGGACATGCCAGGTATCGCACACAATAACACCACATGGCCGAGTAAGACTACCATCTTTCCCGAACACAAGGCACCCTGATGATGGGCCTGATCATGAATGTACACAGGAGATTGTTTATTCGGGGGGTGCCGACTAGAATAGATGACGGACCACAGGAGATTGTTTATTCGGGGGGTGCCGACTAGAATAGATGACGGACCTGATCATGAATGCAGGTCTGATACGTCATAATGACGGATTGTGTTCTCGGGGGTGCCAATTAGAACAGATGCAGACTCTCCATGTCTAACAACCGGTTTCACAGAAACACGGAAGCGTTTTGCTTCCGATCTGTAACGATCTGGTCCTTAATCGGATTAATCCTGTATTCCTGCGGTTAGCATCTGTTTCTCACCCAGTTCTTTCACTTCCAATCCTCTTTTCTGACTCATGTGTGTACTCGTCAGATATTTCATGAATATGCAAATAATCCATGAATCTGATGAATCATCACACATTCTAAGGACTAGTAAGGAGTGATTCTAATGTGACTTTCATAAAGCACTAACTACCACCCACCTCAAAATCATCAGTCTGCCATTGGTCGTCATTACAACCTTGCCATCAGCATCAGCATCATCATCACCATCATCATCAGCAGCAGGAGAATAACCATCATCATCATGAATGCTCGCCTTCGCTACCTCCTCGTATGTATTCAATTTTTACTCTACATGCCGTACCCCCTTTCCCCCCTTCTTCCCCTTCTTGCCGGTGTATGCAGATAATCCATAGATCTGATGAATCATCACACAATCTAAGGAGTGATTCTAATGTGACCTTCATAAAGCACTAACTACCACCCCACCTCAAAATCATCAGTCTGCCATTGGCCGTCATTACAACCTTGCAATCATCATCATCACAACCTTGCAATCATCATCATCATCATCATCATCATCAGCAGCAGCAGCAGCAGCAGCAGCAGAATAACCATCATCATCATCATCATGAATGCTCCCCTTTGCTGCCTCCTAGTATGTATTCAATTGTTAGCCTACACGCTGTACCCCCTTCCCACCCCAGCTTCTTCCCCTTCTTGCCACCGCATTTAATGTGATGACCCCACTTAACTACCTTCTGGCCCCAGCTCCCCAAACAATTTCAACCACAAACTGCCAGCATCATTTTTCCCCAGCTCAGCACCCAATCTGGTTACTCCCATGTATTCATAACAGGCGCACACACCCTGCACACCACATCAAATGTGAAAACACTGCATCAATCGAGAACATTAGAAAAGCAAGCACAGGAGAAACTGCAGGGGATAACCATGCACCTCACCTCCAAACCAGGCAGTGACTATTGAGAGAAATCAGAGAGAGAACCACACATTCACTTTAACGGCTGAATCCCCACCATTCTGTCCCCCCCTCCTCCCCCCGGGCCCCCTGCTCTCTCTCTCTCAGCTGGAGTGTCTCATCCTTGTGCTGGCCTCATGTCCTGAAAACTAGCGTATCGCTGAAGCCCCTTTCTCTTCCTCCCTGGTTGATTGGAGACAGACCTCCAATCTAGATTGGCTGCTACAGGGAAGAATTACAACCGCTGTGGAGGAGCACATTTGACGGACAAGCTGCCTCACTCCCAATAACAGGAACCCACAGAGCCTGAGAACCGAATGCAACTGGACCACTGTTCCAGTGGCCTCACTAGGTCGCCACTAGAACTGAAAGGCATGGAGATTTTCCGACAGCAGGTGCAAAAGGCAGCCTCTTTTGCAGCTCGTTGAAAGCGAAAAAGCGTATTGTCATGCATGGAGATTTTCCGACAGCAGGTGCAAAAGGCAGCCTCTTTTGCAGCTCGCTGAAAGGGAAAAAGCGCATTGTCATAAATCAACAACAGAAAACACAGAGGACAACACACAAGACTGGCAAGGCAATACACCAAAGGGAAAAAGTGTATTGTCATGCATGGAGATTTTCCGACAGCAGGTGCAAAATGCAGCCTCTTTTGCAGCTCGTTGAAAAGGAAGAAGYGCATTGTCATAAATCAACAACAGAAAACACAGAGGACAACACACAAGACTGGCAAGGCAATACACCAAAGGTCCCAAACTCTTGCTTGTTAGGAGCCTCGGAAGTTGCGAGTTTTTCATGCCAACCAGCCAGCCCACATGGTACATAACGGGTGGGCTGAGAGGAATCCAAGAGGAAAACAAGGGTCACCTGACAGTCAATCCTCCAGCTGACGCAGCAATCAATGTCTTTGAGGAGTTCCTTTGTTTGGCCTTAATGGAACGAAGCAATTGGGTATATCCTGGCTGCGAACTCTTCAACTTGCAAATGAAAAAGGAGCAGCACTGATCCGCCTTACTTTGCCAATGACAAGGAGCAAGGACCATTAGGCCTGTTTTTTTTTCTTTCAATTGGCAAATAAGAAAGGGGCGGTGAGAAAGGGGGAGGAGGGAAATCCAACTCACCTTGTACTCGTCTGCTCTTTCCATGTCTGCAGGGTCCGCCTTCCACCCTCTGGCAGCTCCCGCAAATCCCACCCTCAGCACGCCATCCTCATCAATGCACAATATCGTCCCGATACTCTCATGCGTTTGACACCTCCATCCATACCTGCAGAATATAAATACGACACCAATGTTCACATCAGTTCCTCTGGAATGCATAGCATAAAACCTTCTGTTACTTAGAAACTGATGAGGATGGTCTGTTTTCTCAGAGGTAGAAGAGAGCGAAAAGATCAAATGAGTCTAGACTTGTCAAGTGTCAATTGGACATAGATTAGCACGAAAAGAAAAAAGAAATGAAAACAATCCAAACTTCCGTCATTTTCAAAACAGACACTGAAATTGACCACTCCATGTTGGAATCACAGCCAAAGCTGTACCAGGTTAATGATTAACCTTCAGAGTCTGCTGCAACAACCAGGCCACGAAATTGAGTATAAGCAACTCAGATGTCTTATTCAATTTACCATGAACCGGGGGGAAGACGGTCCTTGGAGCCGAACGAAGGAGTCAAGCCTGCCCTTCGTAGGTTACCCGTGACAGGTACACGAGGAACTTGAACCGGCCAGGAGATTGTGAAACTTCAGCGGGTGATAAGACGTTCCGCTAGGGGGGGAAATGGGCAGAGTGGGTGGGTACCCATCTCTCAGTTCAGAGGGGGTCCAATCGGAATAACCTTGGGGTTCAAGATTGATTAACAAACAACTCCCCTTCTTTCGACAAACCTCCAAGTTTTGCTTCAGTAGAGGAGAGCAGAAAGATTTTATGAGAAAGTAGCAATCATTCATGGCGGGCTGAAACCCATGGATGGAGTCGAGCCAGGGGAATGCTGCAAGACAGTGGGCTACAAAACATACAAGTTCTTGATAAGATTTCCGGACTCTGTCACATTCCGAGTCAACATAAAGAAAAATTATCTGAGATGATTGCCAGTTTTCCGTACTTGGTGCAGTCAGCATATCAATCGTAGAAAGGACTCCATACACCCTCACATAACTAACAACTGGGATCACATGACACAAGACAGCTGGGTTTCATGAACAACGTGATGCACACAGCCAAGGGCAATAGCAGCTTGTATCTGGAAGAACAGCATGCAACAGCTCCGCCACTCCCTGCACGATTACGAGGAAGAATTTGGTATGTGTTGGGAGCTGATTGACTGGGCACTCTCACCTGAACGTCTCCATTTCCCCCTCTTTGCTTCTCCGCCTCCCATTCTCTCCTCCCTCAAAGATCATTCTGCCTCCCAGCCTTCGTAGTTAGCGGCTTGGTTGGCCAGGGTACCGTACTTTCTGATTACAAAAATCTTAGCTATCTCAAACCTGAAAAATCTTTAACTTCTGGAAAAATTTCTTAAAAAGGACGTAACAATCAAGGCATCATTACTAGCCGACATACTGGTTGGGCTTCTTGCAACATAACACCTCTAGAGCCTTACCTTTGCTTGTCATTGTGACTTCGCCAAAAGTGATATATGAGAGCAAGCACACACACACACACACACACACACACACACACACACACACACACACACA